ATATTCATCTTATCGAAAAGCAACAAAGAAATACAACAGGTGACATAAGAAACCTTTTCTCGAACAGCTCTTTCGCTGCCCCTCGAACAGCCACTGAAAGTAACAACTCTACTTTGACTGTATCAAGTAGTGCCGCTAGTACAACAGCAGGTATGTCCGGGTTCGTGACGAGGAATGATACTTTAACTGCTGAAATTTGGTGGGCGCTAAAGGTGAATAGCAGCCATTATTCGTATAATTCCTGTACAGATATAAACTTCTTAGTGCAGCAAATGTTTCCAGACAGTGACATTGCAAAGAAATTTACCTGTGGGGAGAAAAAGGCCTCCTATCTTTCTTGCTTTGGTATTGCACCATGTTTCAAGAGTCTTCTAAAGGAAAAAGTCAAATCTTCAAAGGGATATGTGCTTTTGTTTGATGAAAGTTTGAATCACGAACTGCAAAAGAAGCAGATGGATTTCCATGTTCGCATCTGGAATCATGACAAAGTTGAAACTCGCTATTATGATTCACAATTTCTTGGGCATTCTAGTGCAGAGGATATGCTTCAAAAGTTTCATTCTTGCAAAGAGGACTTGAGCTGTAGAAATCTGATTCAACTCTCTATGGATGGGCCCAAGGTTAACTGGAAATTTTATGAAATGGTAGAGCAAGAATTGAAGAGTGATTTCAGTTGCACTCTCCTTAACACAGGCAGTTGTGGTATACATGTTGTGCATGGAGCTTTTAAGGATGGTTGTGATGCAGCTGGATGGACGGTGCAGAAAACTCTCTCCAGTCTTTACTGGCTGTTTAAAGACAGTCCGGCTCGAAGAGAAGACTACATTAGAATAACTGGTAGCAGTGTATTCCCCCTAAAATTCTGCCAGCACCGGTGGTTAGAGAATGTGTCAGTTGCCAAGCGAGCACTGGAAGTGTGGCCTCACATTGTCAAATACATTAATGCTGTTAAGGCAAAGAAAGTTACTGATCCCAAGTCCAAATCTTACGAGACCATTAGCAGTAGTTGCTGTGATCCCTTGATGCCAGCAAAGATTGCCTTCTTCTCATCAGTGGCAAAACAGATCAATCCTTTTCTCACAGCATTTCAGACTGATAAACCTATGCTGCCATTCATGAGTATCAGTTTGTACACTTTGTTGAAATCATTGTTGAATAGGTTTATCAAGGGTGAACTTGTTACCGAGGCAACATCTCCTCTGAAGATCCTGAGGTTGAAGCCCACTGATAAAGAACAGCAGTTAGACTACCAGAAAGTTGATGTTGGCTTTGTGGCACAACACATGCTGAAAGAAAAATCTGGGAAATTGAGTGAAAGGCAAGTTCTTCAATTCAGAATGGAATGTAAAGATTTTCTTGCAAAAACAGCCTCTAAACTGCTTGACAAAACACCAATAAATTATCGACTAGTAAGAAGTATGTCTTGTCTGGATCCAAGGCTAATGGCATCAGAGAAAGAAGGATGTGTCAAAAAAATGAAAAGAGTTCTTGAAATTCTTGTGGAAGCCCACAGATTGAAGGCTGATGAGTGTGATGAGGTGATATATCAGTTTGGACAGTTTTTGGATGAATGTGCAGGTAATCCTGACTTTGAAGATTTTGACCCTAGTGAATCCTCTTTAAGAGTCGACACACTGTTATATGAACACATGGCTGGTAATAAGCAACTGGCAAAAGCATGGGGGGTAGTTGAATTATTGCTGCTAATGTCTCATGGTCAAGCCACAGTTGAAAGAGGATTTTCTGTAAACAAAGAAGTGGCAGTTGAGAACCTGTCGGAAAGATCGTTCATTGCACAGAGGATTATTCATGATCATATTGAATCAGTTGGAGGCCTTGCCAATGTAAAAATCTCAAAGCAACTACTTATGGCATCTGCTGGAGCGCGACAGAAATATATTTCCTATCTAGAAGAGCAGAAGAGAATTAAAGTGTCCCAGGAAAACACGCTTAAAAGAAAGGCAGCAATGGATGGGATTGATGTGCTGAAGAAGAAAAAACGGCAAATTGAAACTGATATAGAGGCTCTTTTAAAGACTGCAGATGAATTTGCAGATAGGGCTGAAGATTCAAGAAACCTTACTTGGGTTGCCAAATCAAACAGTTTGCGAAGATCTGCCAAGGAAAAAAGGGCAGTCTTAAAGGACATTGAAGAGCAGTTGGAAGGAAAGCTCCAAGAGCTGAAAAATAATTAACCCCACTTTGAATCCCAAGATGTGAATATTAATTCTACTTAGTATCAGTCACGGATTTCTGATGTTACTTCTGAGATATTAAGAGTTCAATGAAAGAAGTTGATATTCTCTGTTTTCTTTGTTCTCATTTGTATGTCTGACAATGTGTTGAAATTGAAAGTAGAAATGAATCTTTTATACTTATGAGAGTGAAAGAGTTAAGGTGAATTTTGGAGTCCTGGAAAAATAATCTGAAGCCTGGAAAAGTCCTGGAAAAGTCCTGGAAAATTGTTTCTGAAAAAGGGTACGAACCCTGGATATACCTTTTGACCACTCTTACTAACCACACCCAGCAAAGTGGAGGCGCAATTCTCCTGGGTGCCTCATATAACAAAGAATAGCAAGAATATCTTTCTGAAGTTAATACCAATAGGTTAGACTTTTTGAGAAGAAATCTGACATTTAAGCACTTTTTCTTGTGTTTTAGGCTTGGAAGGCAGCATTAATGAAATATTGCCAAGAAGGAATGCTGATGCCTTTCCCCAAAGAGCGTAAAAGTGTACAGAATGTCTCATGTTAAATAAACCACCCTACTTGTAAATACTGTATTGTGAAAGGAATCTTCCCTCATCTTCCCTTAAATAACAGTGCTGTGTTAAATGATTTCAATTAGGAAATCTTGGTATTAAAATGAAGAACTCTTAAAATGAAGAATTCAAGTGTTGTCATGACAAGATTAAAGGAATGGAAATAATGTCATAAGGATTGTGCAAATGGATAGAAAATAGGATGATCTATTCCATACAAAGTGAAAAACAAAGTTCTGTCAACACTGCACATTAAAATACTGGATTTCAACTCTTAACTTATCCAACTTTCCAAACATTTCATGGGGACTTAAGTAGTCAGGCTTACATCAAAAATTTTGAAAATAGTAACCCCTTACACTCCAACATCAGTATGCATATTCTCCATACTTTCTCTATACATTTCTTAAGGTTCTGAAAAAGAGAATTTGTTTAACAATCAAGAGCTTGTTTTATTAGTTATTGATCATTTCCCTTATTCTCATGACCTTAATGTTTTCTTCAGGGGTGATGTTGTTAGGAGAAATTAGATGCCGGTCACACTAAGGGGTTTGGGTAATTGTGAAGAAGAGCTCCCCAAAAAACCTGTCGGCCGACAGTTGACCGACAGTCGACCGACAGGTTTTTTGGGGAGCTCTTCTTCACAATTACCGGGGTTTAAGGGTTAAAGATTTTGTTATTTTTTCAATGAATGTGTTGGGAAGCTGATTAGTATCAACTCCTATCACAAGTTTTCCATATTCTGCCTTTAACTACTCACAGCTGTTAGTAGTCGGTCATAAAAATTTAAACGTAGGTGTAATTTGCCAAGGAGGGGAGGGGGGGAGTTGGTATAAAAGGGGTTTACAGCATATCTTCATCAAGCACCTGTATTAAGACCTCAACAGGAGGGAATTTTTTTTTTTAAGGAGCGATTTCTCATATTTTTCCACTTTCACTAACGGTGTTAATATACCAGCGTAAAGGTGGCGTTTGTCTGATCCTCTTGCTGAAAGCGAGCGGTGTTGGTGTCTCGCTAACCTCGAAACCCTCATTGGAAAATCCACAACCAAATGCCATTGTTATTTAATTTATCATTAAATGGTTGTGAATATATGGAAGTCATATAGTTGAACTTCGGTTAAAGACGTGAATGTGAAAGCGATCTTCGCAGTAATGAACACTACTTAAGCAGTAGTGAAAAGAAGGCCTGAAAAAAATTCAGATCTCTACGGGATTTGAACCCATGACCTCTGTGATACCGGTGCAGTGCTCTACCAACTGAGCTAACAAGCCAACTGGGAGCTGGTTACTGTGTTGGTTCCAAATAAATTTATCATTATCATTACAATTATTAAGTTTACTTTGTAACGAGAACTGCTGAACCTCCCATTTGCAAAATTAAAAACCAAACGGGAATTGTATTTGGCTAATGATAATTCATGAAAGGAACTATCTATAAACCAACGTTTCCCGTGCGTTCACCAAATAAACGGGCGTGTAAAAATGGAACACAGTAGTAGCACAAAAGGAAAATAAGGAGGCGTGGGATGGGTCGCTTTTTGCTCTTCGCTAACACAGCATCCTGTTCGTTTTAAAACAACTTTACCCGTTGACTCTCAGAAGTGATCAAGAAGTGACGCAAATTGGTAATGAGAATATTCAAACTTATCAGGTAGAAGTCGTGTTCTTGATCTAGCACCAAATTCTCATACCCAATTTACAAGGAAATGTGTAGCAGCTGGAGGGAAAATTAACAATCAGATCTTGAGAGTTTGAAGGTTAACGCGGGTAACAGGCTCTGAGAAATGTGGTGGCCTTAGGGACGGACCAACGGTAAAGAGAGAGGGGTGGAAGGGGAGGTTGTAGGAAACGGAGGCAATTCCCCCATATATAACAAAGAAGGAAAAATGCCCTCTTGTTATAAAAGAAAAATTGTAATAATTGCAGCTCCAGAAAATCCCGCCCTAACCCGTGACTCTTCTGAGAGCCTATCCCTAATTTTCGCCTTTTGGTAAACATTCGTTTCACCTTTTTACGCGTGGGGTAAATTAATTGGAAAAGAGTGGTGTAACAGAGCTTCCAGAATATGCTTTTCACCAAACTTGTTGTACTTACTGATCTCTGATAGGAAACAGCTTGTGTGAACAATTCAAACGGATGTAATCACACGTCAAATCTTCAATTGCTTACCTGCCGATATTTTAAACGGTATTTGACGTACATCACGCTTCAACGAATCTTTAATTGTTTGGAAATATAGATGTACTCGTTTCGAGCGAAAGGTTCTATAATCCTGCTCACCGCTTAAGCATTCAAACTGTTATTAGCGCGAGATGAATGTGGCATACTTTCGCGTGATTAATGTCCTGGTGTTGGTGATGTTTGTATTTAAAATTTCAGGAGAAACGCTGAACAGGAAGGGTGGGAAAAAACAGTTGATCATGTATCATCCGAAACCACATCAATCAGGTAATTGTTCGTAATACCCCTGTTCCTTGTATTAGTGTCATAGCCTCTCAGTCAAGTCGCAGAAATCGCTCAACTCAAACACTGACCTTGTGCAGCTCATGTGAAGTTGCCGCCATGAATGAACGTTTTAGCGGACTGAACCGCAGATGTCGCTCGGCGAGAGGCATCTCCGAGAAAACCCTAAGCATACCTAAACTATCATGGTTCGCCAAAAGACATTTTTTTGCCAACAAAATTACGCTCTGAATCTGTATCACCGACTTATTAGTCGTTTCTTTTGTGTTTGTTGCCAAGGTCAATACGTTGAGGTTGTCGATAGCATTTCTTTCAAACTTTTCACCCTATTCAGGCGATAAAATATTCGGGGACACTGTAAATAATTGAGTAGACTTTCTAAACGAACTGTTCCATGATAAATGCTGAAAATAGTAACCTGCTCAGTTGCTTTCTTCCCAAACAGCTATTGTTCTCTACGGCAACGAAGGAAGCGGCCAAAATGAGGCTGATAAGGAAACAGTAAGTGGCTAATTTTAAGTTTCCGCGGCCCTTCATTTACCTGAAATCTAAAGGGACTGACATTTCTTATTGGGTATTGCTACTATTGGAGTCCAGTCATAGAGTGTGGTGTTTTCTCCCATTATCACTTCCGATGATGTTCTGCTGATCCCTTGAAAAGTGAGACAGGATTTTATTTTTTGCTTACGTAGACGATCACGCTGAAAATTTTTCACTAGTTTGATATTCGGTCGAATTTCGGTATAGAGTCAGATATAAAATTTTAAGCTTGTGTGTTATTTAGTAAAACAGTGTGTGTGGTGGATATTTACCTAACCACTTTACAGCTGGGTAAATATCCACCATTTTTACCTCCGTTTCGTGAGTCCCCCGAATCCAGGCTCCAGGGTCAGGGTTCCAGATTGTTTAATGAACGCTCACAACATTACATTTTTTATCAGATTAACGCGCTTTCAAACAATCTTGAAACTGTGACGAGCCTGGTCAAAGCCCAGTCAGCAATCATAGAAAATCTCAGCAACCAAGTCTCCACAGCTGTCAAAGGAACAGGCAATGAGAAGAAGTTTAAACAAATATTTGACAAGTTCGCCAATCATACCAAGCAGATTCAAAATGTAACAAAGAAGTTGAATAAAACAGTTAGCCATATTAACGAGCTGGCAGCAGTATGGTCAGAGACAACCATCACATTTAACAAAGATTTCAAAAGCCTAAAAGAGAAAACAGGGCAAACCCAGGATGACATAGAAGACTTGGAGAGAAAACTCACCGAGAAAATTGAAAAGTTGGAACAGGAGGTTAAAACTTTAAAAGTTTCTTTAAGTTATGCCCAAGAAGAAAGTGCATCGCTCAAGGAGGGTAAGAATATATTCATTCTGTTTCATAGACTCAGTTGTTCCTCAAAATATTCACGAAAGTTGTTCAAATTGATTGTATAATCTTTGGAAAAAATTGTATAGACACTCTTCCCACCCCTCCCCCCAAAAAGATTTTTATTGCGCAATAGTTTGAAAATATTCGGGACCACACGTTTTCTTGAAACTGAGAACGCTTCAGAGACCAGTCAATCGCCGGAGAGGAGGGGTGGGGGATTTTGGTAGAATCACATAGTTTTAAGGCGAAACTCAGGAGTGTCAGTCTTCACAAACAGTGTACAAAGAGGGGGACTACAAAAAATTGACCACCACTTAGTTGCCAATCAATGGGCGGTTTATAACAATCCTACAGAGCTGTATGCTCTACGAGGGATCAGATGAATTTTATCGTGACACAAACTGTATCACCACCTGTCCCCCCTGCGTGAGAAATGATGATCGGTCCCTTACGAAACATACGTATTGTTCTTTCTATAGAGTGGCCCGAAGGTAAATTCTGCATCTTGGCAAATGGCCGCTGCCCACGAGGATTTCGACGCCACGAGGGACATCTCAAGTCATTGTATTTGTACTCGTCACATTCACAGTTTGTGAACTCGGCCAAATTTGGAAGCAGTTCTATTGGTTGCTATGGTAGCTACTGTGGACAATACGGCAATTTCATTGGCTCTCTCACTTTGATCACATGTTGCAAATAGAAGATCTATGACGTAGTTATCGAATTACAAACAAAACAACCAGGAAAGCCTAGGATACAAAGTTGTCTTTAACTGTGTGTTTAATTGAAGAAAGATCAAAAGTGTCTGTCTCGGCAGTTTCTAGTTGCGAGGACCATTCATTTACAAAAATATATTTGATACTGCCAACCTAATAATGTATATAACGTTTTAGCTTTGTACTCTTCTTCACCCAGGACTTTTAAGCTGATATTCAGTGCACGCTTCTTTGACTTAAGGGCTGACACAGAGTCTCCAAGTGAATGTTGAATAACTCCTAATGAATAATAGCTGTCAGCAGTTTGTCAATGTTCTTCACCCGGGACTTTTACCCTGATAGCCAGTGCACGCCTCTTTGACTCAAGGGCTGACACAAAGTCTCCATGTGAATGTTGAGTAACTCCTAATGAATGATAGCTCTCAGCGGTTTCTGAATGTTCTTCACCCAGGACTTTTAACTTGATAGCCAGTGCACGCCTCTTTGACTCAAGGGCTGACACAAAGTCTCCATGTGAATGTTGAGTAACTCCTAATGAATGATAGCTGTCAGCGGTTTCTGAATGTTCTTCACCCAGGACTTTTAACCTGATATCCAGTGCAAGCCTCTTTGACTTAAGGGCTGACACAAAGTCTCCATGTGAATGTTGAGTAACTCCTAATGAATCATAGCTGTCAGCGGTTTTTGAATGTTCTTCACCCAGGACTTTGAACTTGATATTCAGTGCACGCCTCTTTGACTCAAGGGCTGACACAAAGTCTCCAAGTGAATGTTGAGTAAGTCCTAATGAATCATAGCTGTCAGCGGTTTTTGAATGTTCTTCACCCAGGACTTTTAACCTGATAGCCAGTGCACGCCTCTTTGACTCAAGGGCTGACACAAAGTCTCCATGTGAATGTTGAGTAACTCCTAATGAATGATAGCTGTCAGCGGTTTTTGAATGTTCTTCACCCAGGACTTTTAACCTGATATCCAGTGCAAGCCTCTTTGACTTAAGGGCTGACACAAAGTCTCCATGTGAATGTTGAGTAACTCCTAATGAATCATAGCTGTCAGCGGTTTTTGAATGTTCTTCACCCAGGACTTTGAACTTGATATTCAGTGCACGCCTCTTTGACTCAAGGGCTGACACAAAGTCTCCAAGTGAATGTTGAGTAAGTCCTAATGAATCATAGCTGTCAGCGGTTTTTGAATGTTCTTCACCCAGGACTTTTATCCTGATAGCCAGTGCACGCCTCTTTGACTCAAGGGCTGACACAAAGTCTCCATGTGAATGTTGAGTAACTCCTAATGAATGATAGCTGTCAGCGGTTTTTGAATGTTCTTCACCCAGGACTTTTAACCTGATATCCAGTGCACGCCTCTTTGACTTAAGGGCTGACTCAAAGTCTCCAAGTGAATGTTGAGTAACTCCTAATGAATCATAGCTGTCAGCGGTTTCTGAATGTTCTTCACTGCATTCCTCCTCGCGCCCAGTGAAGTGAGGAACCATCGAGGGAAGATTTGATTTTGGTAGAGTGGGCTTAAACTCTGCGAAAAAAATGACAGATTTCAGTTCGGCAGATGACCAAATGTGCAAATGCAAAATACAATATTCTACAGCGGTTAGTATCGTAATCAAATCAAATTCTCCTCTGAATAAAATTTCAGAATTGATGAGAGAAGTTTGGCTTTATTAATTAACAAAATTATTGTTATAGGAAGTGTGCCCTTCAAAGTTTATGACTGCTTTATTGAAGACTATCTGGTAGTTCTCCCCTTAATAGAGAATAATCGGAAAAAAATAATAACCTTGTTTCTGCGAAAAGAAGTTGTCTTTAACACAAACAACAGCAGCACTTTTACCTTGTTTCGTGGTCTTTATGGTGATGTCGTCAATCTTTTGGGTCAATTCAGGAAGTCTCTGATTCATTTCTTGTTGGGGTACAGGTGATGCTGCCAGCTCCAACTGTTTCCTCAACTCCTGAATCTCTTGTTTTTCATCTTGAGCTGCTAATGTTGCATCTTTCTCTCTTGCCTGGTTTGATTGCTCGATGTTAGACTTGATAGCTTCTTTAAGCTCCTTTGTCAGTTGTTCTTGCAACTGGTTTTTCAGCTGTTGGATCTCTTCTTTTATCTCTGTCACTGTCCGGTTTGCCTCATTCCGCCGCTCTTGGTTTGCTTCTGCGATATCAGATCTTATGCCCATCAGGTAATTTTCTACTTGGTATCTGAGAAACGCGCATTCAGCCTGAAGCTCTTTCTTGATCTCATCCTCGAGCTTGCGGACTCTTTCTATCGAAAAATCTGCGTCAGTTAAACTTCCAATTGTATCCACAGAGCTTGATGAGACACCAAGGACTTGGAACGCGTCTTTGGTTAGTTGGATGTACTTGTCGAATGTTGCTTTTGGAATCTCGGGGCTTGGTGGGTGGCAGACCTCATTTCTTAAACGTCGCAGTTGGTCGATCGCCAATGTAAATGACTCATTATCGTTCCCAGTTGAGCTGATCACAGAAGTATGGAGATCTTTGGGAGGGAGTCTAAGGGGTTTCACGAACAAGTCGCTGAGTATTCTGTCAATTCCTTTGCCGTCTGGCATAGAAAAGGACTTTGCGTAGATTGTGGCTTGGAACAAGGCAGTACAATCCCAGTCATCATACGAAAGATGAGTAGAGACTTTAGTTGATCCACCCTCTGTGGCAAGGAACAGATTCCTCACGGTAACGGAGTCATCCCAGGGCTGGAAACCATGAAGATGTTTTAAGGTGTCCCATCTAGTTTTGAAGGCTTGACGTAGTACCTTTGGAAATTCACGGAGTACGACAAAAGCGAACTTGAAGTAATTCAACTGTTCGTTTTTAAACGGCTGTAGAGTCATTACTGTTACCTTGTTATGACAAGCAACAATGATTTCAGGGCATCTGGACAGATCTTCCTTGGGTCTGTAATAAAACAGTTCCAATTGAGAAATTGCGCAAAATAAAACTCTAGTACAAAGGGACTTCCTCACCTAAATTTGGTACACTGGGGGTTGCAGCGAGGCTTGTTATGAAGTGGAGTTTTTTAGAGATACCTGAAAAGATTTAATCGAGAGTAGCTCTGAGCTTAGTGAGCGGAAGGTCTTTAACCTCTAATGGTAAAATAAGTACTCAGCGATTGATAGCAATCCTAATTTCTCGCATCACTGTAAATTTGGTAAATATGGTAAGCGTAAGACTGGGACGAGTCAGAGTCTTCTCGCCTCGCCTCAACCACTGGATCAATCTATCATCCAGAGGATCAATGCAACGGTGTCTTTATGCCGATGCATAAACTTATAAATGACAGTGAAAGAAACAGTATGATTACTCGAGGCACAGACTATCATAGCCATAACACTCGCTGCAAGGAAAATACTAGATCTATGAGATCAAACACGAACTGGGGTCTACTCAGATCCTTTAATAGTGCATTGACAGACTGGAATTCCCTTCCAGAAGACGTGAGATGTCTACCTTATGATGCTTTTAAAATTTCATTGCTTAAACATTTTGAATCTTAATGGTCGTTTAGTGTTCATCGATTTTGTTATTTTCTGTTTATATCATGTTTTAGATATTTCATAGTTATGAAGTGGAGTTTTTTAGAGATACCTGAAAAGATTTAATCGAGAGTAGCTCTGAGCTTAGTGAGCGGAAGGTCTTTAACCTCTAATGGTAAAATAAGTACTCAGCGATTGATAGCAATCCTAATTTTTCGCATCACTGTAAATTTGGTAAATATGGTAAGCGTAAGACTGGGACGAGTCAGAGTCTTCTCGTCTCGCCTCAACCCCTAACTTTTGGCTTCCATATTTCCGCCTTGTTAAGGTCACATACCAAAGATAAATCTGTTGGTTAAAGTCGAACATCATCGCCAATTTCATATAGGAAAACAAGCTTTTCTTAGTCATAGTTTGCGATTTATTAACGAGATACACAGAGTGTTATTAAAATTATATTTCAGTTTAAATTTTTCGTCAATAGTATGATTTTTGTTTAAGAGGAAAGTTAAAAAAGTAATTTGAGATGATGGGAAATCATGAAAGCTGGTTTGTTGACAGTTCTCCATGAAGTCAATTTTGGATTACAAAAATTGGCCTCCTTTTCCCAGTCCAAACAATGTTATGCTGTGCTAAAACAACTTTTTAGTCCAACAGTTATTTACAAATTAAAGATGATAAGCAATGATTTGAACTATCAGTTCTTTTGATACTGCTAAATCACTTGAAGAACCTTGAGGAACCTGAATGAAAGAAATATGGTACACCCCTTCAGAGTTGCTAAAAAGATATGGAATGAATGGACATTGGACTTAAGAGACGGACAGTCTCAATAAGTATTCTTAGAAGAAATATTTATCTCTTTATTCGCTGTAATATATTTCTTGTAATTATCAAATGTTGTCATGGAAATATTAATAGACAAACATGCATTCACACAACATGTCCTTCAATAACGAAATTCGCTATTGAAGTCATTCCTAGAAAACGGAATGCAGAAATTAGGAGCAAACCAAAACTAAAATCTGGAATGTTTTGTGTTTTGGAATCCGGAATCTGCAAAGGTAGAATCCGGAATCCAGCACCTGGAATCCGGAATCCACAGCGTGGAATCCAGAATCTAATATTGTCCTGGATTATCTTACATGGGGCGAACTGAATTGAGAATAGATGCCGGGTTGTCTTAAAACGTTGCGTAAACGTGATCCGTCGTAGCGCTTGCGCGCTTGCGTGACTTACAAAGTAAACAAATGTGATCTGAAGGCGCCTTCTCGATAATTGTCGTTGAAATATCAGGTCATGAACTACGCACAGTGTGGAGAAGATCAAAATTAAAGAATAAAATCTGGCACTTTGGCCATTACAGACATATCGCGTTGCTTAAAAAGACACACAAACAAGTTGAAATTCGTTACAGTGTTATTTACATAATAAGATACATGTAAAAAATTACTCAGTTCTGATTGGTTAAGATAATTGCAG